TAGTCCTCAACCTACGGCCACAATTGAGTCCAAAATTTCTGTTACCAAATGAGACACTTGTTCAATGTGTGTTTCCCCCCATTTTACCACCTTTGGTGCCCGTTGTTAAGTGAATCATTGATAAGTGAGTCACACTGTAGTTAAGTGAATCCGGCTTTTGCTTGTCAAAAGCTTCCAAAGTGGGGTCACATGACCTTGGAACACAGCAATGGTCGTAAGTGTGAACCAATTGCCAAGCGCATGATCCTGGGGCTGCTAGAAAGCTCGGAAGTGTGAAAAATGGTCATAAGTAACTTTTTCAGTGTTGTAACTTTGGTCACTAAATGAACTGTTGTAAGTTGAGGATTTACCTGTATTTGGACCTTCAGGGTTACTGCTTTTCTAGAGCTGCTTGCCTGTCCCTACTGGGGTAAAGTAATGGTTTTAGGGTGTAAATTTCATTACAGTATAGAAGAATCATGAAACAGAAAGCTATCCCTGATGTCTTCAGGAGTCTCTCAGAGATGAAATTATAGTCTTAATTGTTTATCTTAAAACATGATCTGGGGTTGTTGGAGCTCCTTAGAGAATGGTTCTTGGATGGAAAAACAGCTGCAGCTTAGCTGCATTTGAGCCCTTGGGGTAGAATAAGATAAGTTACATGTGTGCAAAAGGCATTTAAAGATTTAAAAGCCAGTTTTTAAATTAGTTAGGGACTAGCGCCAAAATGAGGGTGTACTGAGCCTCTGCTCAGTGTCCCATAACAGACTCTCTTTCATGCTTTATATTTATGAAACCATTTATTAACTCTGCAAGTCGTGCAAGCAATTCTGGGAGAGTCCCTGAGAGTGGGGTGGATGAAGAAATTATCTTAAATAAAAATAAAATACTACGGATTAAACTTGAATGCCCCAGTCCAGCTGCCTTTTTGGATCAACTATAATCTGAATGATTGAGAAACTTCGCAGATGATTAAAACAGAAGTACAGAGAACTAGGAGGTTCTTTGTACCTCAATCCTCATTGCTTTGCCTCCTAAGGCTAGTTAGATAAATTAGGATTTCATAACTCTTCTGAAGCAGCCTACTGTTTAAAGGGGCCTGCCTACTCCACAACTTTGTCCCTTTGTCATAGAAAAATCTGAACAGCTTTATGTCTTCTCCTTTGGCAGCCTGTTTCTGAAGACCAACTCTCGTTTGCTGTTTCTTTACTATAATGAATTTTATAGTAAAGTATATGTATAGTATATGCCTATACATATGCTTGGTGGCTACAAGTTGATAAGAATCTGTTTTGAAACCTCCCTGAGCTGCTGACTTCCTGGTGGAAGCAATTCAGTGTTGCTTTCAGTAATCAAAAGCAAGCCAACNAATATTTCATTCTAAGAGGGGTGGGTGCTAACTTTCTTCATATACAATTAAGCCTATCACATTTTGAATGAAAAAAGAGTGATGGGTCATGGGAGGGGAGAGAGAGAGAGAGGGAGAGAGAGGGAGAGAGACAGACAGACAGAGTTCTACTACTTTGCTGCCATCTAGTGGATGAGCGCATTTTGGCAGCCACCAGACACCTGAATTTAAACGTTGCTCGAGCTGCCTAACGGCTGCACCAAAGCAGTTGGGATGCAGTTTTTTCCGATTAGCTCGCTGAGCTGTCAATCACGGTAGGCCTCAGCCAATTGACGACCGTGTTCAAAGAAGCCAGAGAGGAGAGGGACCAACCCTCTTGTTGCGTCACGCAACCCCACCCTCCAACGCCCTTCCATTGGTCAAAGACTTAAGAGAGGCGTTCTCGCACCGGTGGGGTTGGGCGTGGCCAACGAGGATTAGCCATCTTGTGATTGGCCCTGTCGGGGAGGCGGAGGGGCGTGAAGAGCAGATTAAAGGAGGAGCGGAGAGACCTGCCGCTGAGATGAGTTTGCGGCGTTTCGCTTCCAAGACGCTTCTTTGTGGGTTCTTGGTAGGGCGCGGCCTCACAAGAGTGATGGTAAGTTGCCAGGGGAGTGGGTCTCCAGTCGTAGACGTTCTAGTCATTGGCTGTGTTCTCTATGGTCGGACCATAGAGCAGTTGCCTTAAAGGGCTACGTAGGGTCTCCTTGGAGGACCCATATAATCTTTTTTGGGGAGGACTTTCACTCTAATCCGTTCAGGTGGTCGTTTTTACTACTTCCAACGAGCATAATTTCCCCAAAACATTAGGTTAGGACGAGGCTGGAGGCCAGTAAGATGGCATATGGATGGAGAGGAAAGTGTTGCCCTGGGGAAGTATGAATTTTTATTGAATGTCATTACCATAATATGGGTTTTTGGAGGTTGTTTTTATTGTTTTGGGAGTGCCTGGGATGGTTGTTACACAAGGGTGTTTATCTAAGTCTTGTATTCTAAATAAAGTACAATGTAATGCAGCAAAGGTCTTTGCAGGTGACTTAAACCTTAATTCCTCGAAAATAGGGCAAAAACCATGTTTTTTCCCCATAATACTTTGGGCAGGTAGTCCTCAATCTACGGCTACAATTGAATCCAAAATTTCTATTACCAAGTGAGACATTAGTTCAATGAGTGTTTCCCCCCCCCCATTTTACGACCTTTGGTGCCTGTTGTTAAGTGAATCATTGCAGTTGATAAGTGAGTCACACGGTAGTTAAGTGAATCCAGCTTTTGCTTGTCNAGTTCATACAATGTACAGATGTTTCTTTAAGGTTATTAAGGTTATGCTATCATTAAGGTTATGTTGCTCCCCTCTGCATATTATATATGCTACTGTATTTTGGACTGTCTCTGAAGTGTTTGCAGTCTGTACCTTGGGTCCTGTCTAGTGCAAAGGATCCTGCTTCTATTGAGCTGGTGTGAGCTGGTGTTCAGTGCCTATTCTTGTGCTGCTATGATGAATGCCTCATTGATGTCTTTTAGTCCAGATCTTTCCAGCCAATGGTAGGATTTCCTAGAATCAATCACCTGTGTAAGTTGGAAATCTATGTTTTATATAGGCTCTTCTCCAGGGAGTCTTTCCTTCTCATTAGGTGGCCAAAGTATTTAAGTTTCATCTTTAGGATCTGGCCTTCTAAAGAGCAATCAGGGTTGATCTCCTGTAGGACTGACCGGTTTGATCATTTTGTAGTCCAAGGGACTCTCAGGGTTCTTCTCCAGCACCTTAGTTCAAAGGCTTCAATTCTTTGGCGCTCAGACTTTCTTATGGTCCAACTTTCACTGCCATACATTGCAAACCATAGCCTACACAGGTGATTCATTGGCTTACAAAATTAAAGTAATAAGTTCACAAAAGAACCTTCAGTGACCAGAAAACATTGGTTCAACTCAGCTACAAAAACAACAGTACCCATCTACTCATATGCCATGGGAAATAGCAAGGCCTTCAAAGTTCAGGACATTGTGCCATCTATCCTCAACTCAATACAAGACTGTGAAATCCATCCCCAATCTTAGAATCTACTCTAAAGCATATCATCATCAAGATGATATGTCAGAGCATGCACAGCTTTAATACGTGAGACAACCCATGAGCAATAACAGCAAACAGAGGTTTGTAATTAATATGGTTTTATCTACAAAATAATATATACTAT